GTTCAAAACTATAAATTGTTTCTTTAGGAATATTAATCTCAGTTAACCATAACTTAATCTAAGATAAATCAGCTTTCATACTTCTGATTTCTTAGGAGCAGACTCGTTCCTCTGGGTTCTTCTTTTTTGAACTCCATCACCTATCTTTTAGAAGTTCGTTGTCTTTCTTTAGAGATCAGACCCCTCTTTTGCAATTTACAATAGATTTAGTGGGAAAAAGTAATTTTTATAATTTATCAAATTCTCAGTAAACATATTTGATATTCTAAGAAACAGTGTAAGTTTAGCCTGCAATAATATTCGATTAATAGCATTTCTTTGTAAAATTCTTAATTATTTTGCACGACAATATTCTGATATTGACAATTTTTCAATAGTTGAATCCAAATAAAACGACACTAAAATGGGAATTACAAGCGAACGAGGTTCGTGTAAAATAATTACTTTGTAAAATGTTTTTCCTTTATAAAATAATTTTTTTATTGTTTTTGAAATAATAAATAATAATTTATTTATATATATTAATAAGCATTATACTCGTCATACTCGTCGCTATTTTTACTAGTTTATAGTACTGTAATTGTTAAGTGATTAGTTCGTTACGCATTTTATTTGCGTATAACTCTACGCCGTCAAATATCGATGCAAGACAAATAAGTTTTGTATTAAGAAATGCTAATTACAGTTAGTACAGCAAGTCCTCACTTAACGACGTTGAGCAAAACGGCGTAAAACGAAACCAATTTTGCCCTAGGTTAAATAATATAAACAAGAGTTAAGTTTCTACGGCAACATCGAACTTGCAAATAAACACCCAAAACTCCTCTAATATGAAAGATTGAAATAAATGTGGACTCTACTTTCTATTTAAGAAAGATTAATGAAAAGAAGTAATATAATATTTTACTCAATTTTGGAAATATGAAGGGCGGCAGTCGTAGTGGTGGTGGATGGTATGGAGAGGGAGACTTAATCCTCGTTACTGGTGGTGGGTAAAGACGTAAGTCGGTAAAGAGGAATAAATTATTTTATTACTGCTTCTTGCAAACTGAAAATTATAAGAAACATTTCCTACCACCACACGGTTCAAAAATATACAATTGACGATTCCAACGAACTATAGAAGATGCTGTATAAATTTATAATGGCAGATTCAAACAGAACTGTTTTGTTTACATTGACATTAACGATGTCTTACGCATTGTTAATTAATGTGGACATAGATTTACGTTATTTGAAAAAAAGGCGAACGTATAATGAATGCAAATTATATTAATCAGATTGTAAGAATTTGATTAATATTATTCTTATCGGATCGTGTATAGGACCCGTCTTTCGCCACCGGCCTTCCCATTATGGGCTTGGCTAAACACATGATAGTTATGACTGAAAGGCTGTTCATAGGTTCGAAAAAGTAAAAAATTTCCATCAGCAAGTTGCTTAACTTTCCTGGTAACATTTAAAACTGTACGTGGCGCCATCCGTTATGATATTTTATTATTAAAAACTTTTTATATGTTTTAAGTATAAAACGGCAAAAAGCTTAATTTTGAGGGTAAGGATGGGTTTTATGAAGAATTGAAAATGCTGATAAGCAGTAAAATCGTTATTATGTCCGATCCAACTCGAGATACGACACACGACCCTCTTTATTTCTCTACCCCGTCGACCTATAACTACGAAAATTTAATAGCATCGAGTTCCTTAAAATACACAAATTTCCCTGCAAAATTTTAGAGAGTTTTGAGAAAAAGCATAGGAATTAAGCTTCAAACAGGGAGAAAAATCGTGTTTGCACACACTAATATCCATACATACAGAAAAACTCCCGATTTTTTGTGAATTTCTCGACGTTACAAGGTTCTCCGAGTTCAAAAATGTAAAAATCTTGGGGGGTCATTTTTTGATGGATTTCCATTCTTCCCCTCGGTTATATATAACAGAGCCGGGAAAGTAAAAAGTATTTATCGAAACTCCCAAATAACAGTCATTTAAAAATGTTAGTGTTATAAAAATACTAAAGATAGTTTTTTTTAACAGTTTGTTCATAGCTTTTAATAATTTCAGTTCCCAATAACATAAAAAAGTTCTGATAAAAGCCTTTGGCACAAACCTGATATCTAAAAATTATATAGACCTATTGCGATTTATACGCTTTATCTGTACAGCATACTTTTTCTCATCAAAAATAATATTTGGTAAGAAAAATTTATATTATATGCCATAAACCGTAAGGCTCTAATTTCAGATTCGTTCTTTTTGTCGGAATATTGAACACTTTTACACCAGTTTGACGCCATTCTGTTAATATTTTGTAGTGGGAACGTATAAAATGACGTCAAATTGACGTAAAATGTAAACTACATCGACGAGACAAATGTTTTGATCGAACTTTAAAAATTGTTTTCTTCGAAAACTAATGGACACATTTTTATTTGCTCTGGAATGAAAGCTTTAAATATTTATTTCGTAATAAGAATTGAAGTTAATTATTAATCAAATAATATATTCTTAATATGAAGATAATAAAGTGATAGATTTATTATCTATTTAAAATAGCATTCTTGAAATTTAGGCATTTTTCCTTCAATAAAATCTTGATCGAGCGAATAATAGATATCGATTGAGTTAGGACGGATGAAAATGTATAATTAAAAGCAGACCCGAAGAGAGAGTAAAATAGCCGGAACTGTAACCCCGGGTCAAAATCTTGAATACTAAAATTTTATGAAATGAAGTATAGAAAATAAATTAATGTAACTTTAAGCGTGTAAAAAGAAATACGGTAAACCGAATATGTCACGACAGAAAAAGGATAGAGAAATCGGGAAGGTACTAGTTCCAGGAAACCAAATCGCTCTGTTCGGCATCGATTAAAAGCAGATGACGTACCGGCGGTAAAATTAAAACGACACGAGTGCTAAGAGCGTCAAACACTAGTTCTATCAATCTTCTCTTTTGACNTCATTTTATCTGCAAAATAGACTGTAACGAATTGTGCAACAAATGAACTTGCCAAGACAGACTATAAAAAATTAATTTTTCTATATAATATTCTTAATCGCAAAAAAGCCAAATCTGGCAATTTTGCTCAGAACTAACTGAAGCGCCACTTGTAATCGTCCAATGCGCCAAGTTTGGCGCATGCGCCACGTTTTGGCCACCCCTGCTCTACTGTATTAATCAAATAATATATTCTTAATATGAAGATAATAAAGTGATAGATTTATTATCTATTTAAAATAGCATTCTTGAAATTTAGGCATTTTTCCTTCAATAAAATTTTGATCGAGCGAATAATAGGTATCGATTGAGCTAGGACGGATGAAAATGTATAATTAAAAGCAGACCCGAAGAGAGAGTAAAATAGCCGGAACTGTAACCCCGGGTCAAAATCTTGAATACTAAAATTTTATGAAATGAAGTATAGAAAATAAATTAATGTAACTTTAAGCGTGTAAAAAGAAATACGGTAAACCGAATATGTCACGACAGAAAAAGGATAGAGAAATCGGGAAGGTACTAGTTCCAGGAAACCAAATCGCTCTGTTCGGCATCGATTAAAAGCAGATGACGTACCGGCGGTAAAATTAAAACGACACGAGTGCTAAGAGCGTCAAACACTAGTTCTATCAATCTTCTCTTTTGACCTTGAAAATCGACAAAGACGATTGGTTGAATCTGTCGTTGATTTTGCCGACTCCGCGTATCTGTGTTTTCATTTCGTCGCTTTCTGCCACGTGGGCACAAAGAGGATTTCTTTTTCCTGTGATCATGGGGGTTCGGCCAAGGGTCACAATGGGGGAAGCCGAAGAGTGAGGAACTGGGCCCGACATATCCGGAACGGACCACATACGCGTACTTCCTGGGATGGCTCACCAGGTTTCCAGGCATGCAGTTTTAACCGTTTCGGCCGTCCGACCGCATCTTACATTAACGGCGTATCTTATAATATAATCGAGATGGGTTGATAATAATAATAATGATAATAATCCAGTATCAACCGAGTATAACCCACTAAATCCCGTATAATAATAATAATAATAAGTGCAGAGCCCAAACGGTTAGGAGTTGAAAGTTGAAATTTGGTACACAGTTAGGGTACGTCACGAGAATATACACTAAGAAGGGATTTTTCGAAATTTCCTCCACGGAGGAGAGGGAGAGAATTAAGGCTTATCCTAAAGAACTCAGCTTCTACTGTACTATTTTCGGTGCAATTTTTTTTTTTCATTTTAACTGCCTCTTGTAGGGTACGCCACGAGAATGCACTCTAATAAGAAACTTTTGGAAATCCCCCGCGGGGGAGAGGTAGAGGGTTAAGGATTACTCTGAATTCGGATTTTACTGAACTATTTTAAATGCGGTTTTTTTGCGGAAAATCGAACATGTTTTCAGACCCATCTAAGACTTTTCTAATTACTCTCGGAAGAGAGTGAACCTAATTCTTGCATCTGGTAAACACGGATAAGATCGGCTATAATCTAATAATCTTAATTTTCGCTATCGTTACTTTTTATCCGAGCATCGCCGGGTTTATCTGCTAGTCTTTAAATAATTTGTTTTCTAGAAACTGATGCTTTTCATCTTTTTCACTCAAAAAACCATTTTATATAACAAAATGTTTGAATATTTGTCTGTAATAATGCAACGTGAAATGATGAAAGTGTTTCGTTGAGGTAAATTATGGTGCACGGTAATCCGGTAGTGTCTACACACCCGAAGAAGACGACTGAAATTTATCCGATAACATCAAGTAAGAAAAATAATCTGTACAACTAGGAGTTTGAAGAAAAATCGATTAATTGGATACTTCATGCAAAATTTCTTTGCTTTATTCGAATTTCGGTAAATTTAAAGACATCACAATTAAACAAAAACGTACATTGCTTTAAAGTTGACTACTTCGAAGCAAAATTTGACAACAATAATGGAATTGTCGTGTAATCACATTACACGAACGTTATCAGATGTCTTTTTCGAGCGTGTAGACAATATACTTTTAAAGCTTCTGCCAAATCGATAAGAAGCGACAGACAAACGCGACGTCCCTTCAATAAGCAATTGACATTTGTACTTGCATTTGCCAGTTTTATCTCCAGATCGAGAACGTCCTGCATCTCTTGTTCGGCGTATTCTCTTTCTGCTCCCAATAAAACGGCTATTTCGATCATCAGACGTAGGTAGGCTTTTCTTTCCCTTTCACTGTTCTCGTTCAGAAAATAATCTCTGCTCGGCAATCCGAAATTAGTTTCGTACAACTAAAGAAAGAACGGAAAAAATAATACAAATGCAAAAAAACATTATTTCTTTTGAGGAATAATAATATTTAGCAATTTCTGTTTTATGGTTTGAATAATTCTGATTTCAAATATGTAAATCTTAAAATATGAACTTTAATGTTTAACTTAATAATATAAAATTTATTCTTTAAAATATTAAGAAGGAAATCTGTAAGCTATTTGATTATTGGAAAAAATAGATTTAAATTATCCTAATATTAAATAATATATACAGGTTGTTTTCGAAAGGTTTCTCGCCAAAGTTTAACAGCGTACTCTAAGGATCATAAAAATGAAAATATTTTTATATAAACATATATAGATAGGTCGACAATGCTTCCTTTCCAAGTTATAACTCTCTGTACAGTCGTTGAGTTTCACATGTATCTCCGTTAGTTCGGCCATGCGTAAAATGAATATGCGCTATTTCTGAGTTAATGTAACGGTTCGTCGTATTAAAGAACACCTAAAATGTCATTTTCAAACATAGACGTCAAAACCATAGCTTAATATTATTTTGTGTTAAGCAAAAGGTTTTAATTACAGCTAATTTTAGAATTACAGTAGAGCATCGATTATCCGACTCAATTGGGGACTGGAGTTGGTCGGATAATTGAAAAGTCGGATAACCGAAAAGTATGAAAAAATCCATTATTAGTGTAGTATATTATTATATCCCATGTAATTAGTATATTAGTATATCGCTATTAACCTATTTTGCGTTGAATTTTCATCGATGTTAAGCCTAACAAAAATTTTTTAAAATAATAATCGTCGCTATTGTATCGTTAAAAATTAGAAAATTAAGCTTCGTTTAAATACTGGCTCCCTTTCATGGTCGAATGAGTGTTGCCAGCTAAAACACGTAAAAATAATATTAAAGTAGCCAAGACAGCCAAATATTGTAGCGCCACATCACTAGCGGACATTTGAAATTTGCCGACTAGGAAGGTCGGTTAACCGAGGGGTCGGTTGATCGGGGGGCGGATAATCGATGCTCTACTGTACTATAATTTAGAAAGGAGGCATTTTTGGGCTTTATATGGAACACACAAGGCCCGAAAACTCGTATTTATATGGATTTTTTTTAATTTTTATTAGCCATAAAATACACCGTTAAAGTTTGGCGAGATCTTTCAAAAATATCTTGTATATTTGTTCTTAGGCAATAGCGGATCCTGAAATACAATACTGTACTTAAAGAGGGATTAACTCAATAATTTAAAATATTTGAGTAATTAATATGTACTGTTTAACTCATTAACATGTATACGATGATTACATTGAGGATGGCTTGACAAACCATATTTGCTATTTAATTGTTCTAACATCAAAATGTTGCGTTTAAAAATGTTTGAAGTTCGAACAAATAAATTTTAATATCTTTCTTTTTATGCCAATGAAAGGCCCCTGTGTTCTTCCCTTAGGTCCTTCACCGTTCTTAGGTTAACTTTAAATTAAAAAATAGCAACAAATATAGGAGTCTAAAATTCTAATTATTTATAGATTTGAAAATATTTTGATTGTTTCGCTGTAACAGAGAGCGAAGTGAAATTTGTACACCAAGATGTCTATATTTATTTGCACTTCTATAACATAATTCTGGATAGAAATTGTTTTTATTTGCATTTAATTTAACGTCGTAGCAAATGAATAGCCGATAAGTATTACGTTTATGCATCTTTCTGACCCTTAACATTTCGAGGAAGTAACGAATACTGTATTTGTAAAATAATTTCGTTCCATTTTATTTGTAATGAGGTATTTTCAGTATGCCACCTAAACTGTCATTTTATGTATTGGTCAAAATATGAGGACGTTTTTATTTTTGCCAACTGATACCGATGTGTAAAAGAACGAGCACTAAATAATCATCCTATAAAGAATAAATATCGAATTGATTCTTAAATTTTAATTAAAAATCAAATAAAATGTGTTTAAAAAAAGTAAAAGTTGTTTTTGTATATTATCGAGGAGAGGAAAGTGAAAGATTATATATATGTAAACTGCTTACATTTTGGGTCTACACGACTACATTGAGTTGCCAGATTGGGCTAATTGTAAAGTCTACGTTCATTTTATTTAGTTTAATGCTGTATTTGACTAGTTCATCAAATAATTACATCTGAAGCGAAGACTGGAACGTCATCTATTAGCCTTAGTACTTCACATTAAAGTGATACTGGAACTGTATGTACCGCTGTATGTACTGTACTTGTTTATTACTTGATTTTAAGCTATTTTAATCTCTATTTTGCTTCTTTTAAACAGTATTCTCGCTTATTTTCTCGAAAAGTATCTGGCAACTCTGGCTACAGTACTAAATTGAAAGTAAAGTTACCTGAATAATATTAACGGACGAGTTTTTATCATCGGGTCCTACCCACTGCTCTACAATGATCCCCTGATTGTAATCACCTCGCAAATGGCCCAGTAGCCTTTCGACGGTCCACGAGCCTTCAGACCAATTGCTGTTGGTCACCGGCCATCCTCCCAATCGGTCTATGACGTCTCTCAAGGGTTCGTCCCCTATGGCATCTATGTGATCTGTAAACAAACCAAAAACTTCGGTTTAACATCGTCGTATTTGTGCGATCATTTATATGAAAGGATGAACTCGTAACGATTCCAGATATCTTGATTTTAACTATCCATAAAACCATGAAAATTTGAATTCAATAGGCCAGGGACGGAGAACCTTTATGAGTCCGCGTATATACTAGCTTTAAAGATGTGTATGAGTTCCAAAGTTTTACACTTCGAATAACGATATTTAAAGAAATTAAATAAACACGCTTCAATTAGAATAAATGTAGAGCTGAGTGAAGAAGGAATATCGGAGAAAAGGCGATCCAGCCAGCATCTCCATATTAGAGATGAAAGAAAGAAGGAATATCGGGTGATAAACCAATAGGATGATTGAAAAGACAGATGATAAATCGAAATCTTATGATACGTTATGATTTCTCCTTACGTGCCACTTTAGACACGTAATTAGGTTATCCACCCCTAATTAAGGCAGTGAGCGATTTCTCGAGGTCATTCCATTTTTAAATGAAATGGATAGTGATGATGTAACATCAATCGGAAGTAAAATAGTTTTGTATCCGAAAGCTAATTACCTCACTTTATGACAATTAATTCATAAATATAGTATTCTAATCACGTTATCATTAGTTACTAATAATCGACTTAATTAGTCAATTATTTACGATTTGAATGAATATTCTCCCCAAAGAATATGAAATTTTACAATCGATATAAAATGTTTAAAGCAAAACATTAAGTTGTAATTATAAAAACTGCATCGCTCTAAGTTATTTCTGTGAGAATTAGTAATTGTTCGTATACATTTAATTTATAAACATTTTTATTTTCCCGGCTGTTATATGTAACAGAGGAAAAGTATGGCGATCCGTCAAAAAATGACCCTCTAAGATTTTTACATTTTTAGACTCAGAGGACTTTGAAACGTTGAGAAATTCACAGAAAATCGGGGGTTATTTCTGTATGTATAAATGTTTATGTGTGTGGGGGCGCGATTTTGTTTACCCTGTTTGAAGCTTAATAACTTCCGTGCTTTTTGTCGAAAATTTCTGAAATTTTGCAGGAATTCTTGTTTGTTAGGGGAATTTTATGAAATTTTAGTGATTAGCCTAAAGATCGAGGAGGTGGAGAGATAAAAGGGGTCGTGTGAATCTCCAGTAGGGTCGGACTTAACTTGTTAACATTTACAATTTTTTATAAAACCCGTCGCTACCCTGAAAATTAAGCTTTTTGCCATTTTATAATAGTTAAAGATATAAAAAGTGTTTTAAATAAAATATCGTAACAGACAGTCCCCAAATTTGCCGGGAAAGTAAAGCAACTCGTTGCTGGATTTTTTTAATTCGTTAAAATTGACCATGTCCTGATCATTTGAGTTTTATACGGGTATATCTTTTCGTCTTATCGAGCTCGGATTTTTATGTTTCTGCCACAACCAGTAATCAAATGATTTGTTTCTAACTAAGAATAATTAATGTTTTTGCGCGGTTATCGATCGGGACCCCCTAAATTCGGTTTTTTACAAGAAATTATAGTATGTTGTTGTATCAATTGTCTGCCTAATTTTGAATATTAATTTTGTTATCATTAGTAGTTTCCGATTTTAAAAATTAGATGAAAAAATTTTTATTTATATAAAGAAATTTGTATTGTTCAGTACGTTTGTCGTGTTAGTGTGCATTGCATTTATTCATTGCGTATTACATTCGTGTTGTGTACATCGTTCGTCGTTTTCCTCTATTCTGCTATTCATATGGAGATTTTAACCGGTTGGTTTCTTCCTCCGATCTACTGCTACTGACTACGTGTACATCGTTGGAATGGTTATGGTTCTTTTTAAAGTAGCTGAAAGCAAAAACTAAATCCTTTTTAGTCTTTTTCTCATTTCCATATTTCTCATTTCTCTATTTTATGATTCCGCTGTGTTTTTATGTAACTGTTTTACTGATCATTTTTATTTTTGTTTGTTTGTTGTTGTTTTTAACTTTACGCTTTTTGTTGTATTTTTAATGGCACACTTATTATACAGTGATAATCATCTCTTGCCATCCGGCATTACTCTAGTTTTTAAAATAAAAAGACAAAATAATTAATAACGAATATGAATAATAAATTATAATAATAATTTAATGATACCAAATGATAGTAATTAAATTACTCATATTCAACACTGTGTGGAGTGATATTTAACGCTCCAAATATAACAAAATCTAATATGGTGTCATTTCAGGACGTGCGAAGACTCTTCTATAAAAAAAAAATAGTACTAAAACTGACTATGTCACTTTTGGCGTTGCTAGAAACAATCATTTTATTTGTACAGTACGAGACATTATACATGCCTTAGCAATGTAGAGGTACTGGTCCACGTGCTCCCCATTCTGAAGGTATAGAAACTAAAGTTGTTGAACAATGTGCCGAGTTGCCGGACGCAATTGATCATCTGTGATGCTTTTCACATGCAATGTGACATTATCTTCCACGGCTGTCAAATTTGCAACATGTCTTCGATAAAGCTACATTTTGTATGTGTCCCCACGACCAATAATCACATGGATTAATTAAGATACTGAAAACCAGGTGGCCAGGCAATAGAAAACACATGACTAATCACTTTGTTATCGGCAAAATTTCGCAGAAACTTTTTTATTCAGCGTCTGATGTATTTTTTTCTACTCTCTCCTTCCTGTAATTACTAAGAAGAGCTTTTTGTAGAAAGCCCATCGTGGGTTTGACCGGGTCGACAATATGGTGGCCAGACAGCGCGGGACGGGGCCCAACATATTCGAGACAGATATCACCCGATAATTTCTGGGGGTTTTCGACTTACTCGGATTCGGTCTCGAGTCTCCCAAAAAGGTAGGTCGACGCCTTAACTGCTCGGCCGTTCGGTCGTCTAGCGTTTGGACGTATCTAACTTCCAGTTGAATGAATGCATACTCGCTGTGGCAGTTAAGATTCAGCAAAAGTGTCAAACATCTCTCGGTATCTCTGGGCCTGACAGAGAATGTCACAGGCCCGTTAGGACTAGCTCCTTCGAAGTAGAGTCCAAGGATAAATATGACTGCGAATCCATACTAGTCTAACTTTAGGCGAATGCATTGGAATATGCTGTAAAAACTTAGTCTTCGTGTTGTTTAAATACGACAGTTATGGGTGTTCGCTGTTTCACCGAGACGAAAATGCACCTCGCTCTTCACGAAATTTTCCACGGCCACGGCACGTTCGCTTCTATTATGGCAAGAAAGGTCGATACAAAGGTCGGTCGGATTTTCACGTAGGCGGTTGTGGCCAATGTTATAGGGAAAACGACGCATCAACTTTCTCGGTAGTTTCCACACTGCTATAGAATACGGTCAACTCCCTTGACACTACTGCACGTGCACTACTGGAGCGTATAACGTTACAGGCTGCAATAACATTCGAGAACAGCCGTGGTAACTTCTTCCAACTAGGCTACTTGTGAAGTAATAGATTTGGATACTCGACCGGTTTGAACTTCCAGATATCCAGGTTTGTCGAATCAAACCATCGTTCTCCGAAGAGAACTTGCGGAGTCGATGGTCTTCGGTGTAAAATCTTACGACGTCGAAATCCACGAAGCGCACCCGCAGCAAAAACGGCTTAATAAGAACTGCACGTTCTTGCAAGGCAAAGACTTTCGTAACTGATAAAAATGACATCCAACAGTCGTGGCTTTTACACCAATAACTCGGCTGTAATACGTACTTTTATGGAAAGGAAACCGCTTTTTTCGTCGCTTGCGGCGCCAAAAGTGCCATAATGGTGAGTTTCGGCACTAATGTTTTTACGGAAATGTATTCCGCACGTTCCAAAATGTTGCCTTATCTGATTTGATTGCATTATGATTGCTAAATATCTCCGGACAATGTCGAACAGGGACACTTTAATTGCAATTACTCGGTAAGGTAAGATTCAAAAACAAAGAAGGCAACTACTTAAACGTAGATTCATTTTAATATCCATGAATAGAAAGGGGAAAAAAACTATTTTACGACGAGTACTTTTCAAAACAGCGCGACAGATGTTTCTCGAATATTAGAAGTGCGTAAAAAATTCGACCGACTGAGTTTGCGATAGTATTTTATGTGAAAAATAGCAATAAAAAGATTTTAGAAAAGTTCCTTAACTGAATAGATGGATCGTTAGAACGTGTGAAAGGATTGGCGAAAGTGACGCAGATACCAAATACGATAAAAGCCGGTACAAACGAAAAATATTTATTTACTCCAAAAGGCTAGAAAGGACGTCGAAAATGAGTATCTTTTATCTCGCTCCGTATATTGCTGTTTGCATTATCGACGCAAATGCGATCGATGGGTGCACGAAGAGCGCGAAAATCTTATTTCCAAACGAACGGATTTGTTTTATTTTATTAAATATAATTATTTAGCAAAATAAAACAAACGCAGTTTATTTCGCGCTCTTCGTCCACCCATCGATCACATTTACCCATAATTACCCACGATTAACAATAATATCAATTGTTATATTAAGTGCAAAAAATTACCCCTAAGATTTTTACACGTTTGGACTCGGGACATTGAAACGTCGAGAAAAAAAAAAAAAATTGAGTGTTTTTTCTATACGAGTATGTATGAATGTTAGTGTGTGTGTGGGGGGGCAGGTTCGCCCTTACTTGGGGCACGTGCCCCATGTTTGTCGTCGGGTTGAATTTTTCTTAGTCACCGAGAGATCTTTAATGTTTCATTTTATTTTTAAATTAGTTACTCATTTTCATCACGAAAAACTTATTTACTGATGGCAAAATAAAAATAAAAATATTTGTTATTAACCGAAAATTTGATCTAGCGGTGGTGATTGTTTGGTCGAGTACCGAGGTACAGTACCATCGTATTTGATTAACACGATTTTGATATACAGGGTAGAATCAAAGGATTAATTCACTGCGTTAATTAAGAGATACTTCTATATATATATATATATATTTATTTATACAGGTATCTTCTTGCATAATATACGTACGATGCCCTTTTTTATAGCTCGTACCCCCTTTATTATAGTCTGCGAACGCCGCTGGTGAGGGACACGATTTTGTTCACCCTCTTTGAAGTTTCATTATTCCCATGCATTATTTCAAAAATTTTTGAAATTTTTCATTGAGGTTTGTTTTAGGGAAATTGATACTATTAAATTTTGGTGGTTAAAGGTCAAAGGGGTGGCGAGATAGAGGGGATCGTTTGTCGTATCTCCAGTAGAGTCGAACTTAACGAATGTTACGCTTACAATTTAAAAAGAAATAATAATAATAAAACTCGTCCTTACCCTCAAAATTAAGCTTTTTACCATTTTATAATAATTAAAACTATAAGAAGTTTATTTAATAAAATATCATAACAGATGGCGGCACACGCACTTTTAAATGTTGCCGGAAAAGTTAAGCGACTTGTCGATGGATTTTTGGGAACAATTTTTATTTTAAAATATCAGAGAAAAAATACAACATTTAAACACAGAATTTTATACACATGTAGACTTTTATATTAATCGTAAAGTGACATCTACTGTACAGTAGTACATAATAGCGTAATTAACTATAATTTTTTAATTGTTAATAGGATATAAGTTTTAAAAATATTTCTTGTTAAATGTATAAAATATTGAAAACATTTCCATAATAAACTTATATCTAAGATTAAATTTCGAAAGAATATAGTCTTCTTTGAATAATTAAAAATCAAAATTAATTAGTTATAAAAACCCTTTCATTTAATTTCCTCACGGACTCTTTAATACGATTAAGTTTCATTTTAAATCAAAGGTAAAAACGAAAAGAAACGAAAGAATATTATTCAATTGAAAATACTTATTTTCTAACTAAATTATTAAAGATTGCTTTAATAAAAGATCGATGAAAATAAAAATTAATATTAAAAATTCAGCAATATTATTTTCGATATCGTGATTTCGATCAGTTAAGAAATTCCATGTCGATAGTGTATATTTAGGATAAACTTACGTTTGTCCATGCAAGAACGATAAAAAGTTTTGGCCTTGATAGTGGCACTGTTATCGAAAGAGTTGGTGGGTTCTTCCAACAGATCTGGAATAAACAAGAAGAATAACGAAGGCTGAAGTGTGTGCAATATTTACGCCATGGAATATTTACCTTTTAGCACAACTTGTAGATCGTCGGCCATCACTTCGAAAGTGCTGATGCTGCTCTTGTCTTCTGGGATAACGTGGCGCTTGTTCCAAGTTCCGCAGGCGTATTGGAAAAAATCCGTGCACGGATCTGCCGTCTGATCCATGCTACTCAATAACGAAGAAGCTGAAGATTAAGAATGGCAGATTTAAATTTTTAGAATTTTAACGATTTTATTTTTATATTAATAATATATTATCATGGATAATATTTATTAGATTTTAATTAAAACTTTTTTATTGGATTAAATATAAAGTTTGGGAAATCGTTCTGAGTGTCTTATAAATTTAATAGATGAGTAATCAATCTTACCCGTTTTGACACATTCTGGTGATAAACATACTGACAGTTTTCCTAAAATTTGTAAAAAAAAATGATTATTTGATTATTTAGTGAGGAAGTTAAAGCAAGATATTATGAGGTTCGAAACTGAAGGAGCAATTAATTAGGAGTAATATAGAAAAATATTACCTTGAGATCTGGAGAACGTTAGGTATATAAAAACGATACACAGAGCCAACAACACAACAACGGTAAAAATGAGATAACGTTCTAAATGAGTCCTTTGATTCAAGACTACGGGGTCTTTGATCTGTACCCTTATGTTACCCATTTTCACTTGCAGAGCTTTGTCCGAGTCGAGTCTGTTCAGAGGGTTCTCTCTGACGTTGACGCAGTCCTTTCTGCCGGGGGAGAAGTTGTCACCTAGAATGTCGCGCTGCTGGTTGACCGCAGGCGCACCGTTGATCACGGGGTCGTATTCGTTCAGATAACCGGCCAACGGTTCGCCGTCGCAGCACTTGCCCGTCTGCAGAGTCATTCTTCCTCTTCGCACCTTTAATTAACACCTGCCACGAAAGCACGTCGCAGTTAATCCTTCGTCCGATCGCTTCCATCCGACGCGCCGCGACGATTCGACGACTTCCCGACAAATCGATAGACGAATTTCGCAGATTTTCCGATAAATATTTCGTCGGAGGCGAGAAAGCCGGGCGAAAATTCCAATCGAGGAGATCTTCAGCCGACGATAATCAATTTTCGTCACCGGGAGCGGCGAGCGCATCGTGTCGCGCGCGAGTGCGAATGGCGATTGCCGTTGGTCGCGCGCACCGGCCACGGCGATCGATGCGGGAACGTCGGAGGGGGCCGACGGACGGACGACGGCCGAGGAAAGGGTCAACAGGTAGATTTGGGTAGAAAATAAGGCGTAGGCGGCCGGAGCGAAGAGAGCGAAGCGACGACACGAGCGGAGGACGGAGAGGAGAGAGATCGATATTTATAATTGTCGCCGGGTGCGGAGTAGAGGCGAAGGAAAGAAGCGATTTCGGAGAGGTTGCGGCCGCATCAACAGGCGAGGAAGGAAGAAGAAGGAAGAGAAATGGCTCACCCGTGGGCGGGGGTCGGCGGGAGGGTTGCGAAGCACGAAGATTCAGACGAGTCGACGTCGGTGTGGACGTGACCGGGCCAGAAGAGTGCCGCATCCTGTCGGAGCCGGAGCGAATTTCGGTCTCGTCGACGACATGACGCGTCCGATCTCGCTCGGGACGGACATTCCGGAGCGCCATCTGTTCGCGCGATCGATATTTTGACCGGGGCGTCGACGGAAGCGACGGGTACGCGTCGGAACGAAATTGCGCTTTTTGTCGGGGGTTTGCTTCATCTCCTCCCCCTTGGTGCACTTGTTGATTGCTTTTATTCTCGAAAATAACCTCTCGCCTCTTTCCTCGTTATCCCAGGAAATTCTCGGTGTTTGCATATTTTTTATAAACTCGTAAGTCCTCCTTGCTATGGATTCTAGCAATTTCCTTCGTATAATTATTTTTCTCGACCTTCGATTTAGACTGGCGAAGACGTCGTCATTCGTCCGTGCAACAAATTTAATTTAAGAAGGATGGTACAATTAGAAACATCCTCTTTGTTTCGAAATAAACTCTTAGTAACGCCGTAGCTTATTATCTATAAATTGCAATCTTATAAATACGAGGAAAGGATTTTGAATTTCTCTCGTCGCGATCGTACCATTCGTTTTTATTGTTATAATGATGTAATTTGCGTTTGTACGCGTCGAGAGGATGCGCTGGACGCGTAGAGATTTACGGGCCGACGAAACAATTATTTAAATCAAAATATATGTCTACGATTTAATGTATACTTTAATAAGTGATTTAGATTTATATCTGTTAAATTTCCTTATTGAAACGAAATATTTCTGGATTATTTAAAGTAATTAAAACGATTTTGCGTAGAATATATTATTAAAAATTTTATATTAATGATTGATTTAATAAAGTAGATTAATTACCGGTTTTTAATTTTTTTTAAATAATTTTTCTATTAATTATATAATTATTTTGTGTCTCGAATGGTTACCGTGGAATATAGCTCCGATGCATTAATTCGTATTTTGCTTAAAGGTCACAGTTGTGACGTCAATTTGATGTTGCTCCAAAAAACAAAAAATTAGAAAGGGAAATTTTCTTAAAATGTATAGAAAATGGCATGGCTTGATAAAAGTTTTTTTTTTTTTCTTGTCTTCAATTAATTCACTTCAGTATTATGTTAAAGAAGAATATATCGGATGAAGTAGTTTTGCAAGGTTTTGTAAGAAAAACTTTTCTTTTTTTACTTTAAATTTCAAATGTCTAGAATGATGATGGATTTCGATACGCTCTGCAAGATTTCTTCTAAATATTATCCGGAACACTGAAATCCCATTAATATACTTTTATAATAAAATAAACTAACACAAAATTTATTTATTTAAGTTATAGTCTACGCTTACCGGCAATCTGTGAATTGGGTCATTCTATACAATGGCCGAATTTCATAGTTTTTCATTTCTTTCCATAGTTTTTCATTGCCTAACACTCCTAGGTATTATATAAAATGCCTAAGATTTTTTGGCAGTATATGAAGGTAAAAGTTTATTTTACGTATTGTTTAGGCATTTCGGAGAATACCTGAATTTTGCAGTTTAACATATACAATATATGAGAGTATTAAAAATAAAATATATATTTTTAGGCTAAAATATATAAATTATTATAATTTTTATACGAGACGTTAAACTCTAGAATAGGCAAAGATTTCTACTGGTGGAGTGTTTGTATTTTGTATTGTAAGCAAGATTTTAGTTATTCTGATATGTACATCGTGGTTAGAATTAAACTAACGTACTTTAGTGCGTATCCAGCCGGTTCTAATGGAAACACACANTGTAATAAAGGGTGCGTTATTTTATACCTCCGCGTAACTCCGCGCGAGCATTCTAATTGTTTTCGTGGCTACTTTGAATGCTCTTTCAACAAATAATCTTTTTTATTGGTTAAATTATACAATTGAGACCCTTCTTTTGCCTCTAAAAGCTCATTTTAGAATTAATTAATTAAAGATTCTTTCACACGATACTATCGATAGTGCGGGCGCCGCCATTTTTCTTTCACTGTCGTTCCTAAATTCCTACAAACAGCAGCGCACTCCCGTTGCAGAGCGACCGCTATTAACGAACGCACCCACAAACTGTTACCAGTTGATGATGCTCGTGCTGAGATCATCATATAAAATGAATAATCTTTTGGTAAAATATTTACTTAAATAATAAATAAGTATTTTACCTATTTAACGGGAGCCTGTAAATTACGTGCAGACATTTTCTCCTAAGTTTAGCAAAACTACTTACATAATGACGTAAGGATTATGTCATTATGTAATTTGGGTTACTTAATTCTTTGGGAAGCAGAGTAATCAACATTTAATTAAATTCATTTAAATTCTGTAGATTTATGAGAATTGATTGTTTGGTCGGGTGGATTCGGATTGACTCGGACATTCACTTTCGGGAAAAGCTGGTCCGGCTTAGCAGTATGGAATCACAAAAACTGCATCCGAAAAGACAAGGAAATTTCGTGTTGAAGGATTTTCGTAATAAGTTAATTTAAAAAGAAAAACTTATGGAACAAGTAAATTCCTGATTTCATTGTCAGTTACAATTTTGTTTTGTTCAAAAAACAATTATCGGAATCAGTTAATCCAGAATATTAATGCTAATATTTTACCAAGTTATTTTCTGTACGATTAAATGCAAGTTAATTGTAAAGAAAATAATGGACAAACAATGCTCTTGTTTTCTCGAATATAAAATACTTTTAAGTGATTAGTTGTTCTAGTTTCTAAACAGTTCAGTTAATTACTCTTTCTGCTAATTAACCGAACCGTTAATTAGCCAGGTATAAGTTTAAGACATACCGGAGAAAACCTGGCCCAACTACTTTCACATATTTTCTATATATGATACTTTAGATGAAATGCCTTCATAACCGCTAAAAAAGTTTTTTTTTTTTACAATTTAAAGAGCATTAGAATGTGCATAAATTTATACGACCGTAATTTTAAAATCTAATCGAGTGGTTCATTGATTTAAGTTGATTCCCCAATTAGTTTACTGTCACGATATTAAGATAATAGTATATACGTTTCTTATAACTTTCGAATGCTTCTAATACATTATTACCTTGTCTTCTACGTTTGTGTAGTGACGCACACGTATGTAATCGAAAACAGTGACGTTATATATACATAGCCTATATGTTATATCACAGTATTAAACTTTACATTGGATTTATTTGTTGAACCGAACGCATTACGTATAAATATAAATTATAAACGTTAAGTGTTAACCTTTGTAACGTATCGGATTTAGTAGTTTATGAACGTTACGTAGCCTACTAATGTCTCAGTTAGGCAGTGTCGCGACTATATGCTATATGCTCGTAGTTCTGGACTGATGTATGATTTCTATTGTATAGTTACAGTATATTGATAGTGATTATTGCGTATTATTTTTATAGTTGTATTTTCGATTAAAATCTATTCATATAAATTGTATAATAATGGCTTTTAACATATCAATAGCATGCTTTATTTGCATTCTGTATCACACGATACGTTATGAGATGATGCAAGAAATAATGTATAATACTAGCTACGTGTAGAAAACTTTATTTTGAACTGTTTTTGTGTTTGATTTCACCCGTGTGTACAAAGACCAAGTACAATTACTAGCGTTGTTGCGATTCTACCGATTTTATTCTGGAATCATTTTTTTTCCTTTCTACGCCAAGTACTTTGGAATCGATTCTTTTATATCAATTGCTTATTAGAATCGATGCCTTTGATGCGAGTATTCGTACTACATACGTCAAGCTTCGCGATATTTATTTATAAGAGTTGTTAAAACGAAGAAACTATTATGTCAAATCGTGTCGAATGATAATAAAGCGCTTGAAATATTAAACGCGCAGGATATACAAACAATTAAATAAACGATTGACCTTTGAAAGCTCTTAGAGGTCAGAGAACTAAGTGATGAATCAAATTACCATTTCTAAAATGACAAATTGTTTGAAACAAGTTAACGTTATGTCTTTAAAACAGACAACACCTGAAAAATGATATTTTTTTTCAGTAATATAAGTAAAGGATTTGATAATGAACTTCGTTTCTCTGTTGATTCCATCATTTTGGAATCATAGATTCAAAAATTTACATTTCTACGACGCAACAACTTGTGACAAAGCCGTCTCGAGACTAAGAAGGACCACGCAGACTGACACTTCATCCGCTGACTCAGTTGAGGATACAGGTCTAAAAGGATATGGTGATTTCAACTTTTGGAGCTTCCACGAAACTAGCTCACGACAAACATAAAAAGCAGCTCTTATGAACTGAGTGTAAACTTGATTAATCTATTGGCAGCATTGTCTTCAATTCTGGTTTGGGATGAGGAAAATCTTTCCAGGATTGTATAAGAAACAGAAAAATGTGTAGCTTTAATGGATGGCAACTTCTGTACCTGCGGAACTACTATTTTAAAATGCGAGTAGTGTTTTATAAAGAGAAATAGATGATTAGAAAAGAGATTTGAGAAGATTTTTCTCGGTGATAGTGAGAGAATTCGTCTTAACTATTATTACAATTTATTACAATTTCTGTTTCATTATTACCGTAAGATTTATTAAATTTACGTTTATGCGATTTTTAATTTTCTTTGCTAAAATACATAAAATAAAATCGATTGTTTCCTTTTCATTTTGGACTCGAGTCCTTTGTTGAGATACTTGTTTTGATTCTGGAATCGATTTATTTCATAGAATCGCAACATCCCTAGCCCTTACTGTAATGATATTTTTACGTAAAAAATCATTCTTTGCATACTCGAATGTAATTTTATTATTTTTCAATGACTATAAAACAATTAATGGAATAAGATTATGAGATTATCCATCCAAGTAAATTAAAGATTATGTTAAACTGTATATTAAAATTACTGTAATATTCTGCAGAACTAGTCATTTTTTTGTAAGTAGCTGCTGCGTTTCCTAGTACTAACGTAATTTTTTTAATACTAATCTTAACTAATAATAGGCCGAATTTGCTTCATTTATTGATAAAATAATGTAGTAGTAAATAATATATAAATTTGATATTGATAAATTTCTATAAAAATCAGTTAAGGAATTCATATTCTTCGTATTCAAAATTATTATTTTTGAACAGCTTATTAATTCGTATCCACAACTTCATTTCTTGAAAAAAAGGGTTTGCAAAGGTTTGACATTTTAATAAACAAATTGATCATATTATCATTAATATACGTTTCTAGGCAGCCGGACGATCGAGTAGTAAAGGCACCAATTTGAGTTGAGGATTCTCATTGGAATGTTGTTCATCTCGGAAATTTTTATGCTTTGGTTGACTCGGGTTATGTGGGATCCCGTCTCTCAACACTCGACCACAGTGCCGTAACTAGGCAGGTGAAACAGGTGCACCCGCACAGGGCCCACTTGGAAGAGGGGTCAAAAATGCATGTATTTGTTTTATTACTTTCCCAAACCTAATTAATTAAGGGGCCTAAATGCAAATTCCTGCATAGGGCACAGGAATGGCTAGTTACGGCACTGCTCGACCGTCCATCGAAAGTCTGCCTACCAATGGACGTGATAAAGACTCTCTTATTGTTTGAAAAGAGAAAAGAAAAAAAATTCTTTATAAAGTATCGAATAGTTTTTCATAAGTAATCGTGAAGTTCACTGTAACTGGAGTGTCACCGATCAGATAAAGAAGCGATTAAGATATTGATCCGATGTTCAGCAGTAATTATTTTCGAAATGTGTTACTTATTTCAATGACTGTTCTGATCTGTAATTATAATATCTAATTGTAATTGAGAACACTTAATAACCAATTAATCTACGCTGTCTGTGTTACAACATGTGTTCGAGATACTGTATGGTCTTTATCATCGATGATAAATGAGATCTTTTTAAAAAACAGCTTATAGAAAGGCGTTTATTCACTTATATAATAAAAAAAATAATTATTCGGCTTTAATGGTGGCTAGGATGCAGCTGGAGGACGAGAAGACGTAAACCGTGCGTAAAGGGATTGCAGGCTGTTCTGTATTACATAAAATTTTTATTCCTTTACGTAAAGTCAGCACTTTAGTAATGTCAGTCAAGCACGATATATGGCTGACGTGACTTTATCAAGTAAATTTAATATTTTTAGATAGGCAAGACATTTGATAAGATTTTGTATAATTCACTGTCTTTTACGAATTTTTCACACAATTCACATTCCCAGATCCGAAATAATGATAAATAATTAAATTACAGTGATTTTTTTGTTTGCTTAGCTTAAACTATTAAATTGAATTTAATAGTAAGAGAATTATTTAAGTATAATTAAGAGCAATTTTAATATATTGCAGTGTATTTTCTGCAGGACGTTTTCGATTCGTCATAAATCGCAATAAAACTATTCAGTATATATAAATGTTTCGCAAAAACTTAAGATCGATTTATACTTCGTGAGAATGGAAAAGAGGAGAAAAATATCTATTTTTTCTCTTGCTATTCTCTTTTCATACCCTAAACGTTCATATTTTGCTGGCAGTACTCTTAGTTTAAAATATGGCAGTTCGGGTGAATATAAAAGTGTTTGTGAAAATCTCTTTCTTACTTGTAAAAGATTATATATATATATACATAAAGGCTTTATATTAATATTTGAATACTTTTGTTCTAGGGATTTATTAAACAATATAAACGAATATTTGAATAAAACCACAAAGGAGTATTTTTTACTTAGCTGTCTCCTCAATTACAGAGTAAAAACACAAAGAATTTGGGGTATATGAAGCGGAGAAACTTAAAAGTTTTTTCTACTTTCCACAAAGCAAAAGCAAAGCTGAAATAATGCTCTTGTTTTTTTCCCATTCTCATGAATTACGAAACAGCTTTTACACACCAGAGCAATGGAAACTGTATACAGTATATTTAGCAATGTTATTATAGTACACGCCAAGAAAACTACTGATTCATCTTCAACTATGAAATATTTTTGGTGGATTTCGAAAACGTTTTTGTTGGATATAGAATATTGATTTCTTTTGTAGTTTCTTTCTGGATATAGTAGACTCCCCCTATAACACTGTTGATAATTCCGTTTTATATGACAACGTACAACGTACAACTCGTACAACGTGGAATTCATATAAAACGGAATTATCAACAGTGTTATAAGGGGAGTCTACTGTATTAATTTTTTAGAATTTTTTACATGTCGGCAAACATTATTAAACAAACCTTACATTTTTTGCAACACAAATTTTATTATTTATACAAACTAAAGCTCTAACAATGGATATCGTGGACCATCCACGAATTAACATTAAAATTTTACCTTTTATATTATGGATTTGTGCACTTTTTCGTATAGTTACGTAAAATTAAACAAAAATAGTCCAAACTGTTTTATGTACAATTTAAACTGTCGAGGAAATTTTAGTCCACAGTCGTAACAATTTATTACATTATTGATTCATGAATTTTTACGGCAATCAGCCCAAACAAGAACAAGTTTTAGTGAAAATTTATTCTTGAAAAAAATTATATATATACTATTCGAAATGATTTAAGTAAGTAATATAGATAAGTATTGCCACTACATACGAAAGTTCTGACATCTATGTACATCTACATGATTATGAAATATTTAACAATTATTAAAGTAATCTTTACAAAGAATATTTGAAGACATATATCTATATATGATAATGTAAATACGGATAATTCCGTCTACATCAAAAAAAATCACCGGGGAAGGAAAAAAGACCCACGAAAACATACGAAAATGATTCGAGATAAAATCGATCATATGTTTATACATAATAAATTAGACTCGAAATATGTTATAGATATTTGATACATTTCGTTTTTCTATATGCTATAAGATATTGACGTACTCGGTATATACTGTATATGATATGATAATTGGCTTTATAGCAATTTATATATGATATGATAATTATGTTGTACTAAATACCGCTGTTCTATTGAAGAACTGCAGCCTAAACTTATATGGACTCGTACGATAAATCTTTACAAATTCGATACATATTTTTCGACATAAAAAAGTGAAAATATTCACCAAAATTTTTAACTGCATATATATTGTGTGTGTGTATATATATATATATTTGCCAAATATCAAACAAGAATATCCTTTAAAACGTTTTGATTAATCTCACAGAATCTTGAATAGGCTGTATTATTACTTGTCACGCGATCTTCCGGATGTGTTTTCTGTTGGATTAGAAGACTGACGTACTGTTTCAGTTGTAAAAATTTCACTTTACCAAACGGAACACTTCTTAACCGGATTCATCCTGCTACCAGGAACACAGTCGTAGGCTTTGGCAAAATCGAAAGAATTGGAAAGTGGCCCTAGAACTCTGAATACTCAAAACAATAAGTAACTGATAAATGAACAGAAAGATCAACGTAATTCTCGTACAATACCTGATAGGACCGGGACTATGTACCGACGATCTTATTTTATTCTTGGCTTCTTCCGGCCTCATCGAGCCGCACCAGATCTGTTTTCAAAATTCGATAACATCTGTTTATTATCGAGCCTACGAAATTTTATGGTGAAATATAAGTATCGGCGATTAAGACGATCAAAAACGTTAATATACTTCACCTGTGCGTAGTTAAGGAAAAATAATTGGTCATGCGTTAGATTTAATCCCGGTAATCCTAACTCTTCTCCCTCTCTGCTTACCCATTTCTTATACGCCTGAACCGAATAACGATATTGAGCAAACACACCGAATAAAATAAATACACCAATTCTAAACTCCACTTACCCTGTAAGCTTGTTTTAGACCTCCGTTGTCGGCAATATTTTCGCCTTGTGTCATTTTCCCGTTCACCTGTAGAAACACGTATTCGTCATTATTGAAATTAAATAATAAAAACTTTCAATAGGAAAGCGTTGTTAGCGAAGCGAAGCGACTCGAACTGACAAATCGCCCAAACACGTTTTGCGAGATAACGAAACTTTGCACATTAATACATTAATAGAAACAATAAAATAACATGTGACGGAGGCCGAATTTTAAATTTGGAACTGAAATGGGAGAAATTGGGAGTCAAATTTTGCATTGTAAACACGTAAACAAACGAGCGCCTGCTACCTGACATTGGAAATACAATCAAGCTCTTGCCAAAGTTTTTTAAATATTATGAATTTTTTTACATTTTTCTCGAAAAATTGATTTATTATGTTAACGTATTATACTTTGCACAATTTTTTTTTGTGTGTAAGTTAAGGAAGTTTTAGAAGAAAGGTAAGAAGTGACTGCTTATGAAGAGTGAGGACTGGGGTTAATTTAGCACCCTGTAATAATGTAACGCGACTTGGCCAGCCGCCGCTGCGCTTCAGTCGGGGACGAAATTCTCCTAGTAGATACATTTAAATTTGTGTCTTCTAGAACGTAGCTGGAATACTGATCGATGATGCATTGGGTTCTCTCTCGGAATCTATTGATGGTTGCGTTATTCCACCACTGCTTTAAATTTCCCTCCTTGTCGAATTGCCGACCTGAAAATAGGATTTTCGGTTTATCGAAAATTTGCAGTATCGCGCATTGTATACGTGTGATACTCAAAATTTTTTATCATTACCTTTATCGTCGAATCCGTGTGTAATCTCGTGGCCTATAACCACTCCGATCCCACCGTAATTCAACGATCTAAACGGGCGGAAAAAATAAAAAATAAAAGTTAAATTTTCAAAATTTAATTAAAGCAGACAAATTCGAGTTAATAATAAAGTCAAAACGCCATTAAACGTTTTCTGATTTTCTTCAAGTACGAGCAAATATTAATTAAAAATGATCCCGCGCTATCATTTTGAATGTAAATTTTTATTTTTCAAATTGTACGCTTTTTCACGTAACTTTTGTTTATTACACTTTACTTTTTTGATGTTTTTTTGAAGTTTACTTTTTAAACGCATTATTTTATACGCGGGTAGTTACCTTTTGTCTAGCGGCATTACAGTCGACCCCCTATAACACTGTTGATTATTCCGTTTTATATGAATTCCATGTTGTACGAGTCACTTAGATTTTACAAATACGTGTGCCGGACTGTGAACGGCTCACATATTTGTAAAATCTAAGTGACTCGTACAACATGGAATTCATATAAAACGGAATAATCAACAGTGTTATAGGGGGTCGACTGTAATGCCGCTAGACAAAAGGTAACTACCCGCGTATAAAATAATGCGTTTAAAAAGTAAACTTCAAAAAAACATCAAAAAAGTAAAGTGTAATAAACAAAAGTTACGTGAAAAAGCGTACAATTTGAAAAATAAAAATTTACATTCAAAATGATAGCGCGGGATCATTTTTAATTAATATTTGCTCGTACTTGAAGAAAATCAGAAAACGTTTAATGGCGTTTTGACTTTATTATTAACTCGAANCTTCTTATTTCGATAAGATATTAAACTTACAGGAAATACTCGAGAGCGAAAATAAATCAGGAATAGGTTAAAGTTCAAACGTAAAATTATAAAACGTTTCTTTTATAATTTAATTATGAATTTTTATAAAATTAACTATAACCGACAACTTCTTTGCTTTTGGGATCGAAATTATCCCTGATGAAGAGCGCTCCCACGGCCATGCCCATTCTTTTGTTCACTAATTCCACGCAATTTGTCCACCGCGAATGGCTGTAGATGGACTCGAACGCTCTATATCTAGAATATTAATTATCCAAGATTATAAAGTTAAAAAACGAAAAAGAAAACCGCTTTAAAATTAAATCTTGGATAAGTAAAATAAACAAGTTGAAATATTCGGAATATTAATTTCGAATAAGACTAAACGAATCACGCTTCTCGAGAGCAAAAAATTTTTCAATTTACAGCTCGAGTATATCTCTACCATCCACTCCAGTTCTTCTTGGCAAAAAATAATTGAGAATTGTATATAATTTTATTCTATTTTCGATTAATTTCCAGTTTTTCAAATTCCATTATTAAAACTATTTTTGAATTAATCACCGAAGACCGAATAATATTTTATTAAGTTTACTTCAGTTGGAAATGCTTATGTTCTTAAAGTATTCCAATATACAGAACTTCTGTAATTTGGATAACCGAATGTCTCGTTGTCTTATTGATTAAGAAACAAGCGCAAAGAAACATTTTCACTCTCCATTTGGAACATCGGATGGAAATTCTGGCTCGATTTCTTTAATTTTATGAATAACTAGCTGCAAGGACCCGCTTCGCTGGGCAAAAAGTAACGATAGTGAAGATTAAGATAATTACATTATAGCTAATCTTACCCGTTTTCACAAAATGCAAGAATTAGGTCCCCCGTTTCCAGACTAATTAGAGAATTTTTACGTTTAGTCAAACGAAC